AATCATAGAACTCCTTCAGTGCATTGTTGTTATAGCGGACATCCGCATTGAGACGTTGAAGTGGCAGCTGTTGCACCAAAAAGTTCCGCAGACCAATATACATGTCACATTACGGGCTCGCTGATGTCAATTAGCATCTTTTTATTTGCTATCAGTCGAGAGGCATTGGCTGTAAACCGTTATAATAATGAACAAATGGAATAAAATGACAGCTGGCAAAACAATAAGTACGCTGACCAAAACCTCTCCATATATCACTGACTCAGACTCTAAAGTACAATAAATTTTGGAAAAATTGATAACGTTATTCTTGCGTGATTAGTGATGGAGTTAACAAGTCATAAACCAAATTGCAAACTTGGACAAGGGAGTCTGCTGACTTGTAGGTCGAACAATTTGCAGGCTTCGATATACATTTTTTGTCTTTCCATGCCTGAATAAACCTTGTTACCATGCACATTTTGTTTCCCAATTCGGGCCTCTAGAGAGTTATTACTTTCAAATTCTCGAATATCTTCGTGAGTATATGAATACGGACAAAATAATTTTCTCCCCAAGAGAACATAGCTGGGACAATTATGTTTTCTTGATCTTGAAATGCACGCAACAAATCCGACAAACAGATTAGGTATTGCATGTGTCTGCATCAAATTATATACTCAGTTACGTACATTTAACAGGTATAAATGCAAAGAAGCTGCTGACCAACACATCATCACAAATCATCGGCTCAGATTGCCAATCACAATGCAGACATTAAACAAAAATCTGGAGCATGTCATGAACGAGCTCGCCGACGCAAATTTTTTGGGCACCAAAATTAAAAGTCACTTGTTACTAAAAAAAAGTTCCTATGGATGAGGTGGCACTGTAATTCGAAATAAGCAACAGGTCTTTTCAACGCATGCTTGTTACTCTATTACGTTTCATATGAGGCCGGAAACAGTCACACAAGTGAGATATGATGAACATTAAAAATGTTTGTTTATGTTGAAGGCTGTAAATGATGTCCCGGTCCTCAAAAACTCGCACAAAAATTTGTGTCCTTGCTCTCTCTGAGATGTGAGTACATCTAATCGCGTGAGCCGTTTTTTAAGGGATATGCTAATTGATCAGTCAAAGAATTAAAAAAAAATTAAGGAAACAGGGGTTGCTCGACGCACTGATTTCCTTAACGATCAGACATTAGATAAAGTAGCATGAACTCACTCTGAATCGGACTTTTCTTCTACTGAATCGGCACTATGAGAATGACATGCACGTAAAGAGCATAACTTTCCAGTTTCAAAAAAGCTGGCAATAAAACAAAGATTTGCCTGCCCAGCAAAATTTTAGGAGTAAGTCGAGCTAAAATGCAAACTGTTCTAAACATAGGCAAACGTCATCATCGCCACAACGCTAAGTTTCTTAATAGGGCGAAACTGAAACCCATCAGAGCCAGAGACGTTCATGCCAGGCACCAAATAGATTTGATGGATATGAGCAGAAAAGGATCCGTGAAGATGAATGGACATTTGTGGAGGTACGTTCTATTAGTGATTGATGTTTTCAGCTATTTCCTTTGGCTTCGTCCTTTGGAAAGCAAATCAAGCCAAGTAATTGCAATTGAACTGGAATGTATTTATATGGAGTATGGATCGCCAGAATAATCCAGTGCGACTAAGGAGGGGACTTCAATAAAGCCTTGAAATTACTTTGCGATCGCGTGAATATAAAATTGATTTACAGTCGCCCGCGCCATAACCAATCGGAAGGCAAGGTAGAACGTTATCATAGGGCACTAAGATCAAAGATGGAATATGACCTTCAAAAGATTGGTCAATACGGTGTAAAGCGGGAGAAACAGCTCCCTCTTTATCAAAGAATTCTAAATAACGATCCCAAGGAAGTGATAGCTTACAAAACACCATTCGAAATATACGTTGCACGAAATTGTAACGCCTTCAGAGAGAACAGATTACAAGACGAAATCCTTCCTAGTGCTGGGAGGGTTCGCCCAACTAAGAATGACCGTTACCGGCGTTCACGGCAAGCTTTTAAATTACGAAACCGAGCTAAAAAAGCCACGCGTAGATGTGACAAGCGGATGCAGCGAACACAACTTCGCTTAAATCCGCCCTCGGTTTACAGCTGCGGAGAAAAAGTGTATTTACGTTTGAGAGGGAAACCATCGAATAAACAGCATGTGACAGAGGGTCGTATCGAGAAACGAAAGATCAAGTTGCACAGGTTGCAGTTACACACTATAAGGTTTCATACACCTCACCACTTTCAGGGAAGGAAGAAAGGAAATGAGTCTCTGTAAACGATATTACAAGCCTTATACTGGAGCGAGAAAAAACAGAAACAAAAATGCGCCAAGCTGTCTAAAAAGAAATAAAATGACCCCTAAAAAAAGTATTACATGCCCATAAGAAGTAATGATCATGCACAGGCTATTGAAGACCAGGCCCCGGTTGTTCGAAAGCCGATTAAATTATCCCTCGATTAGAGGTTAATCGACGATTAAATTTCTTATCCCAAGGATAGCTAATCTAGGTTTAAAATAACGTTCCTGAAAGCAGATTTATCCCTTGATTAACTATCCCACGATTAAGCTGAGGTTAAACCAGTCAAACCGGTTATTAAGAGCTACGCGGCTACGCGCGAAAAAAAATTGGAGGGAAAAAATGGCGGAAAGGGAGAGTGCACATGGAAGTGGAAACCAAACGAAAGACAGAAAAAGAAAGCATAATTTTTCAGTTTATGAGATTGAAGTCATCACCGATAATGTCAAAAAATCTCGACTTAATCCAATCCAAATTAACGAATGCTGTGACCAACAAAAAGAAACAAATGCTATGGGAAGAAATAACCCAAGCGGTAAATGCGGTCGGAACAGCCAAGCGAACAGTCACGGAGGTAAAAGACAAGTGGAAAAATCTCCATAGCATCGCCAAGAAAGAATTTGCAGAATTCAAGAGGAGACCAAGATAACTGGAGGTGGTCGGGCTCCAAAGTCGCCGAGTGTTGCCAGCAAAGAGATTATTGAGGTGCTTGAGGACACGCCGGCGTTCAGCGGTTTGATTGGCTTTGAGACAGGTTTGTAAACAATTCTCTATTGTTTCTAGGTTACCAAAAATTTTAAAATTGTAGACAGTCAACCGGCCATGTTGTTTCGGCGGGGTTTTCAGCTTATCAATCGCTTTCCCGTCTTTGAGCATACGAAATGTTCGGACACAAGGGAGGAAAAGATAAGTTTGCATGTTTTTTTTTCCAATATCCGTAACTGTATTAATCAAGTTTTACCTTGTTTAGTTTATTATCCCGTCACATTTCATGAGTGTACTTCACTAAGCGAAGGCTGCTACGGAGAACTCCAAACCGGTTTTCTGCTTTTGCGGCATTTATAGGGTTGCATTCGATTAAACCCTGTTTAAGCTGAATATAGACGAACGCTCATGACGGACTGTCAGTAATTTAGCAGACATATATATAAATTTCAGCTTCACTTGATTAATTCATATGTCGAAGATTGCATAGCTCCGTCATTTTGGAAAGCGATCTGAGGAGTGAGACAAAAACCTTTGATTTCGAAGAATGTCTTGGATACGGTTTATAATTTGGTTAAAATTCGTTTTGCCAAAGACAAAGTGCTCCTATTGTTTCTTTATTTATCTTGTACTAAGGAGTGTTCTTCAAATATTTACGATCGGCTATTTACATGTATAAATAACTAATTTTTATTATTTCGTTTTGACGCAACTTTGTTTATGTTTGTGATTGACGAAATAATTTGTTGTTGTACATGTCTGTTATCATGTCCTATTTTTTCGATCACTAAACTGTGGTACGGTTCTATTCCACCAAAGCGCGCCGATTGCCACGTTTATGAGTTCGTATCACTCTTTAAATGCCGGACCGAAAGATTTAAAAAATCTTTCTTTCCAACAATGTCTAACGCCCAGTTCTTGAGTCAAGCAAACCTAAGCGTTTTTCATTGGTATATAACTACTGACTCTTGTAATTTCCCCTTAGACCAAATGTAAGATTTCCGTATTTTTTAAATATTTAAAGTATACTTGTAAATTCACATGTATTTCACCACTGGGGTGCTATTTTTGAATACTTTTAATAAACCCTTCTATTATTATTATGTCCTATTTTTTCGATCACTAAACTGTGGTACAGTTCTCGTTGTCGATTCACTCTGATTCCCCTTTATCTGTCTAAAATAAGCTTAACTTTTGGTACATGATTTACAGATTTTATAAGCATTTTCGTGAATGATTTCACTGAGTTAAGTCTACCAGTACACAAATTCATTTTATGAAATTGAATAATTTATTTTTTACATGTTTAAGCCTCAGATTCCTTGCGGGAGAGATGCTCCTTCTGTTATTTCATTTATGTGATGCATAAAACTAAATTCACACTTTTTGAGCCTGAGTGAAACCTTAATTGTGCTTGAAATATTTTGTAGGAGAAGATGCTCATTTACCAGCAGAGTCTGCGAAGACTGTGTTTGAAGAAGACTGTCTGAGCCTTAATGAAGACATGCATTCTTCACCAGCCAAGGCTGATGAACAGAGGAAGCCTTCAAAAAGGATAAGTAATGGCGATGTTTTAAAAATGCAGTACGAATGCCTGTGTACTCAGAAGGAAATGTTGAATCTTAAAAAACAAAAATTGAAAATGCAAATTCATCTTCTGGAGCAACAGGTCAATGCAAACCAAACCTTCGCAACTGCATTAAATGCAAATTTTGTAGTTCCCAACACCGATTCATTTTAAAGGAGGAATAGTGTAATAAGTCCTCTTAAAGAAATATTTTGGGCAAATGTTGTTCTCATATAATTTATTATAAAACATACACAATGTATTTTGTTCTCAAAATGTATTTTGACGTAATAAAACAGATTCTTGAGTCAAAATTATTTTAATGTGTTTTTTTCAACCAGAAACCCCGTAAATTCATCTATGAATTTTTATATTTTATGGGGAGTTAAAGTAGAAGCAAAACTGATTGCATAAGGCAGAAATACAAAAATTAAAAATTGTCAGAAAAAGGTGTTGCAGATGTGGTCTCGGATGACCTTGCCATCCTCTGGACCCCGGAAGCAAACAAGATTAGGTTGATCATCAGCCTCAGCATAGCCATCCAAAGGTTCCTTTCTCAGAATTGCAATGTTATGTAAAACTGCACATGCTCCGATAATGATGGACACTTTTTCTGGCTTCATTCTGATCTCAGAATGAAGCAGATGGAACCTTCGCTTCCACCAGCCAAAGGCTTGTTCTATTGCCACTCTTGTTCTTTTGTGGGCACTGTTGAACTCTTGCTGCTTGTCAGTGACTGGATTCAGGTAAGGGGTCATCAGGTACGGCTTGCAAGGGTAACCACTGTCACCCAACAGTAAACCATCTTCCAGGGACTGGTGTTGGATATTAAGTTGTTGGCCAATTCTTGAATCCCTAAATATGAAGCTGTCATGGGTGCTGCCTGGCCATCGTGCTACAATGTTGGTAAACATGCCTAAAATAAAACAGCAAAGAAGTTATGTGACCAGTTCTCAGAATCTCATCTCAGTTTATAACAATAATGTACTGCAAAGAGAAACAACAATAATTGTGTCTATGATGAACTGGGGTAACTGATACAAATATTTAGTTTACTTGGAAAACCTTTTCATTGTTTAATTTGTTTTTTGAAATTTGGGAGACTGCATCATTTTGAAATCCCTGCTGATTGTTGCACTCTGTTGGTCATTAGCTGAGCAATATATTCACAAATATCCCACATTATTTCTTGCTTTTTTCCCTTGTTTTTTACTTTTTTATACTGTCACTAAAATATTGGTGTGATAATTTTGGTAAATTTTCCGTATGTGTGTTTGCAAACCAAACTCCACCTATACCATTTGACTCAAAAAATATTTAAAAAAAAAATTTTATCACTACTCCCATTTCCTGAATATGTGAAACTGCAATCTAGTAACTCCCAACAATGCAACCCCATAGCAGCTGGTGTGCTAGAAATCTCAATCTAAAACCTTCTATAAGGGGAGTACCCCTCCCTGCCAAAGGTTATTTTGCAATTTTTATAGAACACTAATTGTGACATTTGAGTATTTTACCTACCTTTGTGATTGCAAATTGCTTGCACATTTATGGAATGGAACCCTTTACGATTGACAAAATCGTTTTCGTTTTCATGTGGTGCCTGAATCTTGATGTGAGTGCCGTCAACACAGCCAATCACCCCAGGAAATCCCCCCTTGGTGAAAAAACCGCGTTTGTTTTGAAGTATCTCCTCTTCGGTCGATGGCCACTTGATGAAGTTTCTTTGTTTCTGTGCAAGGGCAAGCGAAACTTGACCGATTATACGGGACACGGATGACTTTGACAGGCCCAGAGTATCTCCAATAACTTGAAGAAAGCTTCCGGAAGCGAAAAAGCGCAACGCTACAAGGACTTGCACAGTTGTCGACAAAGCATGGTTTCGAGATGTATCCCTTTCAAGATCGTCGCGAAGGAGCTCAGATAAAAATTCTATGGACTCTCGGCCAAAACGATATCGACTTCTCAATTCTTCATCAGTAAAATTGGACAGGGAAAAGTCGTCTGGTAGCCTAAATGTCCTTTCTTTCCTTCTTGGGGCCGGCATTAAGCCTAATCCGTCAAGTAATAAGTCGGCCATTTTGTTTTGTTTGGGGAAAGTTTTCCCTCGATTAGTGAGTTAATCCACCTCGCTAGGTGTGTTAAAGTTAACCTTTATTTTAACCCTGGGATAGTGCTAATCGCGCTTTCAGGAACAGAAACTAATCGTAGGTTAAATTTTATTCTTGGGTTAGGGCGATTTAATCGTGGGTTAGCGCTAATCGGCTTTCGAACAACCGGGGCCAGGGTTTTAAATTGCTTTACAATCCTCCTGGAGGTGGCAATTGCCAATTTGCTGAACTATTGTACCAGGCAAAGAGAATGGGAATTTTGAGATCTCCTGAAACCATAAGCAAAGAAATAGTAGAGCACAAGTAATCCGTTCGAATACAACGGCTTCCCTCTTTTGGAGCATTTGGCAAATAATGAGGTCGCTTGCTGACTATATAACTCATATGGCGCGCGATGAGACCTATGGGGATCAGATAACGCTGTATGCAGCAGCAAACTTATGTAACATCGACATCCAAATAATTTCTTCTCTAAGAGTTGGTGGGCAGCATACGTTCAATCCGTCAGCAAGTGTTTCAGCAACTACCGTGTACCTTAGACATTTTGCTGAGAACCAAGGCGAATAATATGTGAGCTTGGAACAAGTTGCCGATCACAGCGACGGTAGTAAAAAATAATATGATGTAAATGACCCAGGAGAAGGAGAAATTTCCGAGAATTATGCAAATAAAATGCATATAGAGCAGGACGTCGTTAATTTTGAAATGAGTGACACTTACGCAAAAAGTGGCCCCGTTGGAATATCTTGTTTTAAGCGCACTAGCAAGGCAAGATAGGCCTATCTTGCCCGCTTGGGATTGCCTACATAGATCCCGCGCAAGAAAACTTACAAAGTTCGTAACTTGTGGACGATGTCGACATATACATAGAAAATATTAAACGACCCTCCTAGGTTTATTGTGCTACAAACACAGTCGGCTTTCACTCTCGGCTCTCGAAATAAGTCATTCTAAATTCTTATTGAAGCGAAATCTTTTTCTATACAATAAATCCATTATTGATTAAGCTAAGAGAATATAAACTCTCTCTCGACCACGCTTGTTCGGTCAAGATGGCTGGATATTAGCCTCGTTTTTATTCTACGTTTTTATGGACCGAGACTTCGTCTTAGTCCATAAAAATGCACACAAAAAAAAGAAAAAAAAGAAAAAGAACTCGACCAATACCCAGCCATTTTGACCTCACTCTTGGTCAATAGCAAAGATGAATATATTACGTGCAGACCCATACAAATCTGGCAAGGGAAGACGATGCAAAAAATGCACTTCCGAGCCCGGAATTTGTCCAACGTATAGGTCAGTGGACTTCCTTTTCCTTGCAATTCGGTTCACGAAGTGTTAACTTCAGCACTGATCATATAAGAATATCGTCAAAATCTATTGCACTAATTAAAAGAGTCTGAACCAATGACATAAAGAGAGCTATTGGTCAGCGTTCTAATTGTTTTTACGTCTGTCAATTTGGTGCCAAAAGCATATCAGTATAAGGCTTTGTACCAAATGCTTCTCAACCTTTGTCTTTAGCAAATAAAAAAACGCTGATTAATATCAGCGAGCCTGCAATATGCCATCAATATTGGTCATAGGATTCTTTGGTGCAACAGCTGTCACTTCAACATCTCAATGTGGATGTCCGCTATAACAACAATGCACTAGCGCAGTTAAACAATTACATCGGAGGCTTATCACAGTTAGGACCAAATGTTATTACATTTAGGACTTTATTACATTTAGGACAGTTATTACATTTAGGCCTTCAACACACATCCCAGTCATCTTGGTTGTCGTTTACGTTAGCGTCTGATTCATTATTTCATCAAGACCATGCGGGTGGTACACCGCACTGATCCTGTGGTCCGTGCCACACAACTTAAACAGCTCCTCGTTGACCCTGTTGACGAATTATTGGCCTTGGTCGGACATCACAATTTTCGCCACTCCGTATCTGGTGATCAGGTTGTACAGGAAATCCGCTACACCTAGAGGACCGATGAATATTTGTCTATTAGAGCAAGTCAAGTTTAAACCAAGCTTGAACTTGACTCAAGCAAGCATAAAAAAAAAGCTATCAATATCTAGTAACTTTGCTACATTTTCCAAAAAAAATAGTTTTGGCTTCGTCAAAATTGTTGCAAATTTTTGATATTTGTGACAGGCTACACGCAAGGAAAATCATGTAACTGAATTTCCATCAGAAGGATTATTTTGCGCGCCTATTCAAAAGCGAGCATGTTGAATTACTGTCCTTGATAGATTGACAATTAACGTGGTAAATAATTAAATAATAACATGTGCTAAATATCCTTAAACCTCGCTACTCTACAATTAATTTCGGATACTACATACCTTCAGCCGATTTCCCTTAAAGAGGAGCTGCCTCTGGCCACTTGCTGAAATAGCAAGTGGCCAGATCAAGTACTTATTGCCACGGAACGTTTCGGGCAGAGGTCCTACCAGCTCGATACCAATACGATGTCACACAGTCTCCTTTACTTTAATCAGGCATAGCTAGGCAGTCTTTTCGAGGCTTTGAAGTACGCTGGCAAAGGTCGCAACGCTTGACAATTTCAGTCCTCCAACAATCGAACCCAATAGTAACGAGATGTAACCTGGAAGAAGAACAGGAAAACAAAAGTTAAGAGTGATCAACTAAATTGTAACCACAATTTTAAAGTTCAAGAGAAGCATCACTGAATTAAGTACAGACCTTTTCTCTCGTCTTGTCACGGCAGAAGTGACCAGCAAGTTTGTCAGAGTGACAAGCTTTCAGTATTTGCTGCTGCTCGTCTCGGCTCAGAACCCATCTTTCAGGCTGACCATTTTTCTGACCAATAAAAAACAGCGCACCATATTCAAGAACGAATTTTTGGGCTTTCCTGCGTAAATCTCTTCCCTGATCTTTCAAAAAATCGATTGGATGCTCGTTATGGCGGAGATAGTGAAAAAAAATTCGTTGTAAGCTTTCGTTTCGGCCATCGCTGACGGAAGGAATCACGAGAGTAAGGGCCTGTTTACACGGAGGGTGGGGGACACCAGGTAGGTGAGGTAACCCGCCTAGCCGTGGTCGAAAAAAAAAACGCGTTTACATACAATCTTACAACCTCGGGTTGCTAATGTGAGGTTTCTTGAGGTTGTTGTTGCGCTTGAAATTAAGGAGTTTGAGCAGAGGCGTCCCAAGCTCACATCTCGAGAAAGATGAAAGATTAATTCTCGGGTACATATGTATTTATTCATGAAAGCGTCACGCGTTGTGTTACGCGGTGTTAGGTTACGCGAGAACCCGTTGACCTAATACGTTATACGGAATAGTTTGGGAAACGAAATATTGTCGATTTACAACGCTAAATATTCCGAAATGTGAACATTTTACACTCCTTGTGTATCCTTTGCAGTTTCTGGTGATTTCTGCCATGAAACAGCTAAGAAATGTCCAACGTTTTTAAAACATGCATGTTTCGCTTTTGAGCTTTTTGCTATGAACGCGACTCCACCTTGGGTTACCCCACCTTGGGTTACCCCACCTTGAGACATTTACATGGTAAATTGTCACCCCGGCTGACCGGGTTACTCTACCTGGCAGACCGGGAAACCCGCCTAGGCGGGTCACCGCACCTGTCGTGTAAACGTGATCAAGATAATATAAGAAATTATATGGACAGGCGGGTTACCCCACCTAAGTGGGTTACCTCACCTACTTAGGGTCCTCCACCTCTATGTAAACAGGCCCTAATGATAAAGTAGAATGAAACCTTTTGCAGCAATTGAATTCAGTTGTGGAGCACACAGTAACGATAACATAAATTACTCAGTGCCGATAACTTGTTCCACGCACCTGAACTTTTCTCCACAAAAACGATTAATTAGCGCCTCAAGCGACTTAGTGTCTAGTAAATATTTATCACTTCATACCGATAATTTTTCAAGGGTGAAAGGCAGTATTGATAACTTAGTTTGCTGACTGGCTTTTGGTGCCTACGGCTTTTTTCCGTTAAAAAGAAATACCAGACCAAGCGCTCTAATAAATGTGATTTTTACGCTTTGAGCCTCGAGAAAACCTTTTTTCAAAGTTTCCCACTAAGTATTTACATAGCAATGACCTGCGGTACATACTATTGGCGAAAAGCGCTCGATTCCAAGTTTCTCACAACCTGAGCTTAGACTGTTTAGAGACGAAAAAATCACCTATGTGCTCTTTCATATCAGTAAGTAAATAATTACTAAATTTAACGGCACTGTTAAAAAGACTGCATTATATTCCGTGCTGGGCTTAAGAGAGAAAAGAATCTATTTGACACATGGTCGAGAAAAAGAAAATAACATAAAACAATGTAATTGTAACTGCAATTGTAACAATGTAAGTGGTAACTTAGTGTCTAGTATCTATTTTAGGTTATTATAAATCGACTCGACCGAACGCTAACTAGACAAAAAAACCTAAAAGGACCGTTAGTTTAACTTATTTTTAATCACAAGGAAACATCAGATAATACTAATAATAATTAGTGTGCATTCTCGGCTTACGAACAGTAGAAAAAGTCTTAATGTAACAGTAGTAGGTGGAGCAACAGAATTCTGATGTGGAATCCTGATTTTTCGAGCTTCCATGGCATGGCAAACGAAAATCAGTTGGAGTATTGGGTTTACTGGGGGCAGGGGGAACAACTTTTGGTTCGAGTTATCAAGAGTGACGACAAATCGAGGACCCGAGCAATCGGGATTCCACTGAAGTGAAAATAATTAAAGCTTTCACGCGGTTCACATTCACTGTTAGCATATTTATCATTTCATGCTTCACATCTTTTTCAAAAGAATAAAAAAAAATCAAGTTCGTTTTTATTCCAGAGTTTAGCGCTTTCGCGCAGGTTAACGAAAACCCCTAATTGCGACGGGATGCTGAGAACCAGATAACATCAATACGCATGTTTTGAATGAAAGACATATTTTAGTATTTACTGGAACGGAAAGTATTATCTATTTCTACTAGCACATTAAGGATTATGTTTCACTCAGTTTTGTTGGGTGGTCCAAATGCGCGGAGGGGGGTCCGAATCTACCAGCGGATTTGGACCGGCGGAGGTCCATATCCGTTAACGAATTTAGACCGGGAGTCCATAGCCGCCGGCAGGTTTGGACCGGGGTGTCCGAATCTAAGACGGGTCCAA